TTCCAAACGTTGGGGCCTGCTGCGCGGGGGTGGGGCGGGCGGACTTGACAAGGACACCAACCAATGCGCTGGACTCTTTCGGACTGTGCCAGCCCTTAGCTGGGCCACTCCAATGTGGACAGCCCATGAAATCCTGAAGAAGCTGTCTTGGTTAATGGACTGTCTTATTTTCCCCCCAAATAGCAGGCCTATGTCATTCGAAGTCCTGTAGCTTTGACTTGAAAGGGTCTCCAGAGCCCTTCTAATCTCACCCCATTAGCTCAAAGGCAAGGGCGGGGCCAGGTGGAGCTCCTGGGAAGCCTGAGAAGCTGCACAACTTGTGCAGAGGAAGGCGGAGGTGAGCGGGGCTGAGGATATACCCATTAACACCCCTTCAGCGGCCTGGCCTCTCTGACCCCTCCCCTTCCTGTGCCTCAGAATCACAGCGACAGCCGAGTGACACTGTTCGAAGGGGAAAACTTCCAGGGTTGCAAGTTCGAACTCAGTGATGACTACCCGTCCCTGCCTTCCATGGGCTGGGCCAGCAAGGATGTGGGTTCCCTCAAAGTCAGCTCTGGAGCGTGAGTCCTGGGGCCAGAAGAAGGGCGATGACAGGAGAGGGAGGTGATGGGAAGGGTGAAGGGAGGGTGCTGAGAGGCTGGGGACTTGACAGCCAGAGGAAGTGAGAGGGTGGAGGGAGGAAGTGATGAAGAACAGGAGCCAGGGGAACAAGATAGGGGGGGAAGGAGGGGGAGGAGGGACAGGAGGCAGTGGAGGGTGGGCATGGAGGGTGGGATGAGGCAGGTGGTTGGAAAACCCAGAGCAGCAGGCATGGCAGGAGGGGATCCAGGTAAAAGAGTGGGAGCCATGTTTGGTGGCTGAGAAAGAGGTCTACTAACACAGAACCTGCTCATCACTCCTGTCTCTGCCCTGGCTAGGTGGGTGGCCTACCAGTACCCAGGCTACCGAGGCTACCAGTACATACTGGAGCGAGACCGGCATAGTGGGGAGTTCCGGAACTACAGCGAGTACGGGACACAAGCCCACACTGGGCAGCTGCAGTCCATTCGGAGAGTCCAGCACTAGGCTCCACGGGCTCAGTCACCTCCCCTGAAGGCCCTCAATAAAGGATCCAGAATCTGCCTGCCCTTTTGGACTCCTTAGTGTCTCACTTTGTGGTGTTAATTTTCACCCTTCTGGAGATGTCAACCTGACCAGGATCCAGGGTCCTTGACTATGAAGCACAAACTAACTTAAGATGTATGTGGGTAACTGGCTTAAAAGAAAAAAAAAGATGTATGTGGGTAGATTCTGATGGGAATGAACAGAAATTGCTGGTAGGAGTCTCATGGGAATCCTGTTAAATGCAACCAGTCTCTCTACCCCCACCAGCTGGGGCTAGATGTACTACAATCCCAGACAGCAGACAGCATGTCGACACATCCATGGCAGGTGGGCTTCACTGCTGGGTGCCAGGGTTGGGTACCACCATGCATGCAAACCTTCCCCAACCCTGTACAGAAGCTCGATCATGTTCCTCTCCAATGTCCAGAGCATCTTCAGCTGTATCTTCATCCTGGTCCCCACCCAGCCAAAGAATCTGCCAGCCTCTTTGATACTCTCTTTCCTCCCTTCCCTGGAGAGGAACCCATACTCTTCTGAGGGGGACATTTCTTCTCTCTATACCTGGCCTCCAGGCCCATTGTCAAAATAACAGTCCCTTGCATGATATTTAGCTCTAGTGTTTATGAATTATGTTCATTCATACCCTTCATTTCTGCTACTCCAAACCACTCCCTTTCATTTTTCCTTTCTTTCCCTTCCCTCCGAAGGATGGGTGAGCAAAGCCCAAGACATGGCAGGACTGAGTACGGCAGCAGCTGTCAGAGTCCTTGGCACAAGTGTGGTCCCCCCTTTGGCACAGTTAATGGCATCCCTACCCTGACATAGACAGAGCCCCTGGAGGTCTTCTGGCATCCTGTCATGCTGTCTTTTAGGGATTCTTGTATTGTCAAGACCCCAGTAGGGAGGAGTGGCCAGGGTCACTGCCCTAGCTCAGGTGAGGCAGGCTGAAGCTGGGGAGCTACCCCTTTGGGAAGAGACCTAGGCTGTAAATTAAACATCTGGAAGCCAAACACATAGCATCCCGGAGCCTCAATTCCCTCAGCTGGACACTGGGGCTATTAATCCCTGCCTTGTGTGTCTCAAGGGGCTGCTGTCAGGGTTCAATGAGAAGCCCTTGAAACTGTCTGTGGTGTCATGGAAGAGCATTGTAGAGAGCAGCCTGTGTAGGGCCCTTATTTTCCCTTCTCCCCATGGGTCTTGTGTTGGGTTGGGGGCCAAGGATGGAGTTCTATGTGGAGCAGGAATTCTGCTTCATGCTCATGTGGATTGTGTGGTCCGTAGCCTCTGTTACTCTTTTTTTTTTTCTTGTTATCGGTACCAGGCATCGAACTCACGACTGCCTGCTTGCAAGGCAGGTGCTTATGCTGCTGAGCTAAATCCCCAGCCCCTGCCTCTGTTACTCTTGAGCCTCCTAACCTCTTCCATTCTTCATTTATTTCACTAATGAAGAAGCTGGGCTTGATGATGTAACCAAATGTCAAGTCAAGATTTGAACAGGGATCTTGATGCAAAACTCAGGCTTGCCGGATGTAGCCTCACACTCTATAATCTCAGCATTTGGGAGACTGAAGCAGGAGGATCACTGCAAGTTCAATGCCAGCCTGGACTACATGGTGAGACCTGGTCTCAAAAAAACCAAAACAAAGCAAAATAGTAGCTAGGTGTGGCACCAGGCTTGCTGGCTTGAAGCTGCCAGGAGGATCAGGTCACTGTGAGTTCAAGGCCAGCCTGGATTACATAGTGAGACTCTGTCTCAAAACGAACAAGGATGTGCATGCTTGGTGGTGCATGCCTGTAGTCTCAGCACTCTAGAGGCTGGGGTTGGAGGATGAGTTTGAGGCCAGCCTGGGATATGAAGTGAGTTCAAGGCCAGCCTGAACTGCACAGTGAAACCAGGTCTCAAAAAGACAAACAAAAAATAGTAGCTAAGTATGTGTCATCTACCCCCAAGCACTTCAAGTGCATTATAGAATCTTCAAAATTCTGATTTCAGGTATAACAATCTCCATTTTACAGGTAAAGAGTACCACTGAGGTTATGTGACTTCTTTCAGAATCACACAAGTAGAAAACAAGGGAGCTAGGAGTTGAACCCAGAAACCAGACAAATGGGGTCATTCATCGTCTAGCAGCTATCTTCCCTGCCTCTTCTGGGAGCAGGCAGTGGACAAAGGGAGATCATCATCTGCCCTCTGCTGAACTGCTAGACTCCCAGGAATGCCTGGGCACTCGGAAGAATCAACCAGAGGCTTTAGGAACCTGCAGTGGGACCCCAACAGGGCACTGGCTGTGGGTCTGAGTTTTTCCCAATACAGGGGAGGATTTGGGGGAGGTAATATTTGCTAACATAGATCTTTCAGGTTTTCCTGGACCCAGGGATCAAGCTCTTCACATCCACGTGCACAGGCAGCTAGGAATGGGAGTGGAAGGGGCCAGTCTGGCCCGAGTGTAGTGTTTTCACCTGCTGCTCTTCCTTCTTTTCTGGGCAAGCTGATGTTTTGTAGACCCAGCCAGACAGGAGAGGGAGGAAGGGAAACTGGCTTGTACCCTGGCTGCCCTGAGAGTAGGAGGGGCTGGAAGAGAGGTTGGGATCCATGTAGGAGAACACACACGCACTTTGCCAGCACTTGAGTCCTCGGTCAGGCTGGGCAACAAACCCAGGCTGTTGGCCTTTATCCTGGGAGCTCTCTTGCTCTCTTCTCTCTGAGAGCTTCTTCCCTCCACCCCTCAGCTGCCTCCTAAAAGCAACAGCAGTGGACCTCGATGTCTCCAGGCTCCCCCAGCACCGCACCTAGGGTCTTGCTGCTTGCTGTCTGTCAGAAAGGCCACACGAAACACTCAGGGCACAAGATTGAGACTTGTTCCATCTTGGCTCTTGCCAGATTCCAAGCCCAATCCTGAAGCTCCCATTATGTGTCTTCCTAGCTGGCTCCTCTGAAGCCTTCATCAACAAAGATGGACATAGTCAGCAGTGTAGCAAGCAAAAGTGTTTGGAGGGTGGCAGGGCTCTGGGAGTAGGACTTTACTGCTAGCCCCAGGCCCCCCAGGCCCAGGCAGCCTGCAGGAGACCTGCCCACTAACAGGAGTCCTCACCTCTGGGCTCCAGCAGGTAGAAGGTCCTCCAGACACCAGTCCTGACAGTAGCCTCCCAGCGTGCTGCAAGGTTGCAGAAGCTGGGCTCCTGACCCTGGGTTCGGGTGTCAGTAACTTCCCTCTTTAGTCTACCTCCGCGGTGTCAGGAAGTCCCACAAGGCCACGCTACACCAGTCCAGCCTCTCTGGGCACGGGAGAGAAAGGCATGTACAGTACACAACCCTAACTCCACCCTGCGCCTCTAGAGCTTGACTTTGGGATAAGCAGCTTGGGAATGGAGACAATGGCGGGGCAAACTGGGATGACCGGGAATGGGAACGGTGGAAGAGAAATCCTTGCAGGGAGAAGTGGAAGGGGAGCCTGCCAGGAAAAGCCAGCAGGGGCTCAGGGCTGCCCTCAGGCTGGGCCACAACCAGTCTGTGGGGACCAAATGAATAAGAAAAGTGGGGAGACCCTACAGGGGTGGTGGATGTAGGAGAGAAAACAGGTAGAGACCAGATGCCCAGGAGAGACCTAAAAAGGGAGGTAGGGAGGAAAAAGAGGGTCACCCAGGAGAAGCTGCCAGGGGAGAAGCCTCAGCATCCGGGTTGGGTTGGGGTGGGGGTTGGCAAAGAAGGTCAGGAGACGGGGAAAGAAAAGAGGGGAAGACAGGGCAGGGGATCGAGTCTCCAGGGAAGGGCAGAGTGGGAAAGGGGGAGGAGGGAGAAGGCGCGGAGAGGGGGGGGAGATAAGGAGAGCAGCGGCTGTGGGGCTGGGAGCGTAGCGACAGGCGAGAGGGAGGGAAGCGGAAATTTAAAAGTGAAGATGCAGATAACGCAGCCTGGAGACGGGGACCCGGGAGGGGGTAGGGAGGAGAGTGAGCAGGAGAGGGGCGGGAGCGCGCTGGGAGGAGGGCTCTAGGATGGAGGATGCGCCCTCGGGGGTCCGTGGGGGGGGCAGGTACTCCCCCCTCCCGCCCCATTACTGTTTGCAGAGTCGAAGAGGTGGAAAAGCAGCGCGCTCCTGGTCACCGTCCGAGGGCGCGGCTGGGGCCCATCCCCCGCGCGTCTCCCGGGCTGCGGGGCGCAGGGGGCTGCCGGGTGCGCTTGGCTGTGGCACCGCGCATTGGAGACTTTATTGCGATGGGAAGATAAGCAGGGCGGGGGCGGGGTCCGGGGGGCTGAGGCGGCCGCACTTTAATTAAAACGGAAATTGCGGCCCCTGCCCGGGCGGGGGCCAGAGGGTTCCAAGCGGCCTTGTAGCCGGGAGCGTCGCTCCAGGAACCCCCCCCCATTCCCCCACCACACCCCGGCTGCCCCCTCCTGCCAGGCCCTGCTGGACCCAGCGCCGTCTTCTCCTCCCTGTCACCCGCAGTCGCCTGGGGCGGGGATCGGTGCCCCCAAAGCGCAAAGCCTGACGCGCCCCCTCCCCGTCCCCCCATCTCCCACCGCCCAGTCCCCGGCAGCGATGAGACAGAGCGGCGCCTCCCAACCCCTGCTGATCAACATGTACCTGCCAGGTACCAGGGACCACCCGGGAGCTGGAAGCCCCAGGACCCTGGGCGGGAATCCAAACCAGGACTTGGGGAAGGGGCCTTGCGGTCCAAAGGAAGGGGCTGCACCCGGACAGTCAGGTCGCGGGTGGAGGGATAACTGCGTTTTGGGGATGCAGAAACCTAAGAGGCGGATAAGAAGCCCTGGGGCTTCAGTGCAGGATCTGGAGACCCACAAGTGAGCAGGCTGGGAGCCTGAAAGGCTGAGGTGGGGGCTTAGGGCCCAGGTGAGCCCGGTCGGGGTCTTCCCGTGGTGGAGGACTCCGCTGGGCTCAAGCCGAGGAGACAGTGGTCCTCTGGGCGTTGCCTCGATGCCCTTCTAGCTCCTCACCTCTGCGCCCCAGCGCTCACACCGGCCAGGCCCCTCACGCGCCCTCCTCTCCGCTGCGAGGGCCGCTGCTCACTCAGACTCGGCCAGCTCAAACCCCGCTCAAACCCCGCTCGGCTTTATAAGGCTCCTGCCGGCCCCTTCCGAAAGCGGATTTCCTTTTTCCTGGACGCGTTTCCTGACTTGGGCTCCACGGAGGGGCTCTTCGCAGCGCGCGCCGGGGCTGGGCTCCGGGAGGAGGAGCTGGGTGGCCCGGGCCCCCAGAACACAGCAGGCCCCTAAAGACTTGGCCAAGGCCCTTTCAGTCAAGCCCACAACTTCTTCTGCCCGGGTCTACCTGACTGTTCTCTTCTGCGCCGCAGATCCCGTCGGAGACGGTCTCTTCAAGGAAGGGAAAAGCCCGAGCTGGGGGCCGCTGAGCCCCGCGGTGCAGAAAGGTGAGCCGGCGGGCGAGCAGGGCTGGCGGAGGTGAGGGTAGTGGGTGGGGACTGAGGCATGGACCTCAATAGGAGCGAGGCATGCCACTTGGCCGAGAGGGTGGGAGTACTGTGCACCCCGGATTCTGGAAAGAGGCCTGCCTGGGGGAAGGCCTCTGGGGAACATTTATTCCACCTTTGGTTCTTACATTTTCTAAGCCCCAAGGGCATTTTGAGTTCTAAAGAGAGGACCCCATCTCCAGACCTTTTTCTGCTGTGTGACCTGGCTCCAGGGCCAGGGCTGAGGCAGGCACAGCACAGCGAGCAAGGGAACCAGGAGAATTACTCCCCTGCCACAGGGGCTGCACCATCGGTAAAACCCCTCGGAGCTCCCGGCTCACCCACTCACCCACAGGAGCCAGCTGACACATGCATCTCTGCCCTCCAGTCCGAAGGTGATTGTTGTCCCAGGTTGGCTGCTGTCTCTGAGGGTCACTAAATTACCCTGTTGTCAGCAGACCCTCCAGGCAGCAGCTCCTCGCAGCCACCACCCTAGTCACTACCCCAAGACACAAGAAGAGCTTGGCAGCTGCTTTTTCCAGAAGGGGAGCATGGAACATGACACCCATGCAGACAGGTTCCCAGGCCTCTTGTCTTTGCCATAGTCAGTGGGGAGGCACGTTCCACTCAAGCCTTCTCTTGCTTCTGACATTAACACTCAACTCAGACAACCTGGATTTACATGGGGTGATTTATCATGGGATAAAGAAGCTTCTGGGTTCTGAGCCCATGGCTGAATAGGAAAAGGGGTTCCTTAGACTTGATTAGATCCAATAATTGGACAAACTAGAGGAAAATCCATGTTATTCCAAAGGGAATGGAGATGGTTGCATCAAGATATTTCTCCCCTTAAGCTCCAAGTCAAGGGAGCAGGAATTACAGGGCCTCAACTCCTTCACTGATTGCATGTCTGGGGAAGACCTTGCCACCTCCAGCAATCCAAAAGTCTGCAGGGAGATTGGATGGGAACAGGAGCCAGAGTCCATCCAGTACAAATGTTTCTCAGTCCTCTCTCCCCGCCCCAGCGCTGTCCATCCAGCTCCTGGGAACCATGGCACCTTCCCTCACAGGAAATCCCGCCTGGTCTGAAAAGAGAGCCCTCCAGCGCCTTAGCAAGGAGCTGCGCACCTGAAAATGCTAGGATGGTGAGACCCTGGGAGTTGTCTCCAGTACACAGGGCCTCCGCTTCTCACTCCCACCCGACCAGGTGTCTCCAGGACCCTGGGCGCCAGGGCTGGTTAAGTTTTGTGCAGTAGTGACCACCGCTGTCCTCCTATTGCACACCTGACCCTTCCCTTCTGGGTCTCTGGACAGGGTCAGACTGAGGCGGGCAGGCCTGTGCCTTCACCTTCTAGGGGCAGCCCAGTGCTTGCTCTATCCTGAATACGGTGCTAGGCAAGGAAGGAACTAGGGGCTGACATGGGCTCCTGATCACCTTGGAAAGCCAAGGGCTTTGGTTCCCTCCCGTAGAGTAGAGAAAGCGCCTTCTAACCCTCCTAGTTCTCATGAAACCATGCAACTGAAGAGCCCTGTCCCCAACTTGGAGCTGTGCTTCCATTGTGCAACCCGCCGCTCTCCGATCAGCTGCCCCAGCCGCACTAGCTGCACGCTGCCCGAGCCCTTTCCTCCCCACGGGGTCCTCCCGATTTGGAGTCCTCCCGCCTCTCCTCTCCCCGCAGTTTCGGCCTTTCCCGTCCTTCCGGCCCGTTGGCTGACCGTCCCCTTACCCGCAGGCAGTGGTCAGATCCAGCTGTGGCAGTTTCTGCTCGAGCTGCTGGCCGACCGCGCCAACGCCGGCTGCATCGCGTGGGAGGGCGGCCACGGCGAGTTCAAGCTCACGGACCCGGACGAGGTGGCGCGGCGCTGGGGCGAGCGCAAGAGCAAGCCCAACATGAACTACGACAAGCTCAGCCGCGCGCTGCGCTACTACTACGACAAGAACATCATGAGCAAGGTGCACGGCAAGCGCTACGCCTACCGCTTCGACTTCCAGGGCCTGGCGCAGGCCTGCCAGCCGCCGCCCGCGCACGCCCACGCTGCCGCCGCCGCCGCCGCCGCCCAGGACGGCGCGCTCTACAAGCTGCCCGCCGGGCTCGCGCCGCTGCCCTTCCCGGGCCTCTCCAAACTCAACCTCATGGCCGCCTCGGCCGGAGTCGCGCCCGCCGGCTTCTCCTACTGGCCGGGCCCGAGCCCAGCCGCCGGCGCCACGGCAGCGCTCTACCCCAGCCCAGGCTTGCAGCCCCCGTCCGGGCCCTTCGGCGCCGTGGCCGCCGCCTCGCACTTGGGGGGTCATTACCACTAGAGGGCGCGCCCCAGAGCCTGGCCCGCCGGGGGGCGCTCCCTATACCCAGATTTCACTCCCGACGGGGAATCGCAGACCTCCTCGGCTTCCTTAAACTCCAGGAGGGCGACCGTGCCCCCCTCTTCATTGGATCTCCCTCTTTCCCTCCGCCTGACCTCGCACCCCTAGAAGCCCCCCTCTCCCTGCTGTGACCCCTTGCGTCCCAGGTCCAGATCTTTTCCACTTTTTCTCTCCCCCACGAGCTGCCCCAGAGCGCGGCGCCTGGAGGTCTCCAGCCTCCGCTCTTCCCGGAACCCGAGCAGGTTTGGGGAAGCCCGCAGCGCCCCCTGACTCACGGCCCGCCTCCTCCTCCCGCACCCCGGCTAGAGAGCCCGGCCGCTCTGCTCCCGTTCGGCCCCATTAAAACTCCCCAGCTCCCACCGCCTGGCTCTGATTCTTCGCTTCTGCGAGGGGAACGAGGGAGAGCTCAGCGCCGGCGCCCGGCCCGGGTGCTGCCGGCCGGAGCCGGGGGGGGGGGGGGGGAGGGGCGGGATGGGCTCAGCCCGAGAGGGGGGCGGCTTAGTGCCGCCCGGGCCGCCCCGCTCGCCCGTCGCACCCCAGCACCCCGTCTCCGGCCGCCTGCGCCTCGCTGCCCCTCTGTCCCCTTCCACTTCCTTTCCCCGCTTCCCCGCGCCCCGCGCATCCTCTCTTCCCATCCAGCTCTCACTCCCTCTCCCTCTCTCTTGCTCACACCCGCCCGCTGCCCAGGGTAGCTGCGGCCACCTCGTCTCCGGCTCTGCCGCTCACTTTTACCCGGTTCCCGCTCCCACCCTCCCCTGGTTCTCGGCTGCCTGCCCCGGCTGCACCTCCTTCTCGCGGGCGGTGCGCGCCCTCTGCTGGTGAGAAGAGGCCAAGCCAGGGTTGCACCTACACCTGTGGAGGCTTGGCGGGCTCGCTCGCTAGCCCGGGCCTTGCCACACTAAGACCCAGCGGCTCTCCGAACTTTCAGACTTTGATGAGAAGGGCAAAAGGAGGTCCCTGGTCCTACATCCCAGATCCAACCTTGAGACATCGGACATCATCCTGGCGGTGTCCGTTTCCTCGCCAGCAACGACTGCGTCTCAATACTCTCATCCAGTGTACCCTTGCTCTTTGCTCTTTTCTCTCCTTTTCCAAAACTGGTTGGTTCCTCAGCCTTAAACGCCTAACAAAAGCAAAAACAGCCTCAGAGAATCCCTGAAGTGCTGGCCAGGCCTTTCAGTTGCACCAGCTTTCACTCTGTTAGTCCTGGTGTTTCCTTCCCAAGTCCTATTCTGCTAAGCAAGGGCTGGGCTCTTCCTGGACCAAAGTATGCAAGGTGGGAGGTGACAGGTGAGATGTCCCTGTGCCCCGTGGACAGGAAGGGGAAATGTAGGTGGAAGGCTGGACATTAGGAGTAGGGTGGCCCTTGAAATCTGCTTCCCAAAGAATGCTGACAACTGTCTCATCTCCTTCCTTTTCTCTAAGCCTAAAAAAATAAGATTCATGATGCTTTGCCTTCCTCACTCACATGCTGGCACGGCCTACTCCATGTTCTTAGGTCCTCTAGGCCACAGGGCAGGAGAATGAGCTGTGGGAGGACACAGAGTAGATGAACCAGGGAGAGTCTGGCCCACAGAGGGCTCCGGTACATGCACTGGAGAGGAAAAGGGTCTTTTTCCAGTTCTATGGCAGGGAAGGAAGATGCCAGAGGAGATGAAGCCAGCATCCAGAAACAGCCTGCCAAGAATTGCAGGCTGAATTCATGAAGTGAGCGAGAGAACCTTTAAATGAAACAACAGGCCAAATGTGGGTCCTGGCCAGGGCAGGACTAGGAACTACTGGAGTAGGTTTGCGGCCTAAGTAATGCTTAGGCCATGTAGTGTGAGATGCAAAATAAGTCATTGTGCTCTGAGGATGGGGCAGAGATGTGGCACCCATGGAGGAAGGACCCCAGTAGCTTTAATAATTTTGCTCCTAGAAATATGCACACAGTGTTGAACAACACAGGAGAAGAACAAAGGGAAGACACTCAGTGTAGCAGACCAGGAAGTAAAAGGAGAAAGAAGTCTGGAAAACCAAGCAGTGCAAGGTGGCCTGGAAGGTCATGGGGAAGGCAGCTGGGACTGATCTTTATTCAAGAGAAGATTCTACTCCACCCACACCCTGAGACCGGCATCCCTTTGCCACACCCAGGTTCCTGGTCGTCCAAGCCTGTCCTCACTGGCCCTTGGCCTTTCAAAGTACTGACCTCGCTGCTGCTGCCCTCTCTCCACCCAGGGCCAGCCCCTCTCGCATTCCCTGAGGTGCTCAGCCTTTTCTCTAATGCTTTGTTCATGTCCTTGGTGAAAACGAGGCTCACTGGCTTGCCAGACCTCACCAAGGGCTTGTACCACGGAGATTACTAGATGCCTTCATCCTTCCTGTTTTACCCATCCATGCAAGGTTAGGGAGGAAGACATGGCACGTATGACTTTATGTGCTCGGAAGATGAGTAAAGCACGGGCCCCGATATTAAATGAGCAGGCCAAAGTCTCACAGACTGTCCAGGACCTGTGCTTCCCCTGCCAGATCCTTCCCCACCGCTCTGCTTTTCTTCCCTGTTATCCCCAGTGGCCTTTGACTGCCTGGTTTTAGGTCTTCCTGTAACATTTCCCTCCAGTAACATGTGCTGTGTGTACCGAACTCCCTCTGACATCCATCAGAGATGGACTCGGAAGCTCTGTCAACATGCGACGTGAGGACAACAGTGTCCACACCAAGACTTGCGTGGTCACGGAGCAACCACACCGCCGAGGCACCTAGGCTGACAGCTCTTTCTCATATATTAGCTCATGGGACCACTCCACATGGATTGGTGGGATCCACTCTCCCAGTGCCTCCTGCTTTCTGGCCTGCTTCTTTCCTTCGGTACGTCTTTAAAAGGTTTCCAAACCTTAGCTTGTTCCCTTGAGCTATTTATAATTCACGTCAGGAGGCCCCGCCGTTAATAAAAATAGGTCTTATTACACACTGAACCTCACCCTGTACCAGGTTCTGTCCTAACCTAATGTTTACAGGCATCTCCTTCAACCCGGCCACAATGTGCCAGGGGCAGGTGGTCACCTCTGCCTTCAGATAAGGAAAATGAAGCTTGGAGGGGTTAAGAGGCCCAGTCCATGACCTTAGAACTCAAGTCCTCACAATCCTTCTAGTTAGTTCTTTTGCTGGGCCTTGTGCATGGCTTCCTCATAAGCTGCCCGTCCTGCAATACCCATTTTGTGCCCAGCCTAGCTGTCCATTCACACAGTGGAACACTGGCTACAAAAGACAAGTTGACAGCTTTGTCTTATAAGTTTCTTGCTGGCTGGGTGTAGTGGTGCTTGCCCATAATCCCTGTACTCGGGAGGTTGAGGCAGGAGGATTACATAAATTTGAGGCCAGCCTGAACTATATAGTAAGACCTTGTCTTAAAAAAAAAAAAAGACAAGACAAGACAAGACAAGAAAAAAAGATACTGTCTTACTGGGGCCCTAACTGATAAGGAACAAATTGTGTTCTGCCAGCCTTCCTTTCCTACTTGTGGCTCCACATGCTTGGCACAGGTCACCGTGCTCAGACACAGGAGTGGTGTGTGATCGTATTTTGCCTGGGTGGTGTGTCCTGCCTTGGCCCAGCCAGCAGGATTTCTCCGTGACTGTCCTCTGTCCTGAGGTGGTATATCTCACAGCTAAGGGCAAATGGTTCAGGGTCCCACTGGCTGTGACTTATTCTATTTTTGAGATTACTCTCTTGGTGGATCCTGTTTGCTATTTTCTTCCTCATATGCCATTCTTGTGATCAAAAAACAACATAGCATGGCAGTTAAGAGCAAGGGTGCACATCTGGCAAATGTTAGGTCATGTATTTGATTCCTGGTACTAAAAATAAATAAATAAATAAATAAGATCAAGGGCTCTGAGTTGGACTTCCTGGGCTTAAGCATGAGCTCTGTCATTTATAAGCCATGTGACCTCAAACAAGTTACTCTATTTCCCTGTGCCTTAAAGACATCATCTATAAAATAGGTATAATAGAAATAGAATGTACCTTACAGGGTTGCAATAGAGATGAAATGATTATATAACTACCTTGGACCATCGGTGTTTTCTATTATTAGACAAGCAAAACCAACACAAAGTAAGCATGGTCTCCCCTAATCCCAGCCAGCCAGATGTCCTGGGAAGGAACCCCAGTGACTGCACTTCCTTTTCCCTGCCAGTCCAGTCCAGGCCTCTGTCATGGTTTATGTCTGTGTCCCCCAGACCTCGTGAGTTTGCATTGTGCATTTGTGATAGTTCATTGTCTAGTGCTTGGATTGATGGTGTCAGTGCTCCACCCACATAGGGGTGGAGCCAGGATGTGATATAATGGCAGGAAGAAGGTATGTTTTTCTCTTTGCTGGTTCAAGCTTGCTGTTGGCAGCTGCCATGAACTGCAGTCCAGCCGTGCCTGCCTATCTTGGAGCCAACTGAGTGTGGACTGAAACCTCCAAAAACTTTAGAGGTTTAAACGTAGAGGTTTAAACTTTAGAGGTTAAAAACTTTAAATGTAAGAAATAAACCTTTCCTTTCCCAACTTTGGACCTCAGGTATTTTGTCTCAGCAACGAGTAAAAAGTAACTAAGACAGCCTCCTTCTGTGCCTGGTGAGCTTTCCCAAGACCAGCCTCTTGACAACCACATCAACATGCAGGTTGAATCCCTGTGCTCCTTTTCTTTTTTGTGGTAAGAAGAGAATCACTAAATTTAGAATTATATGATCTCAGCTAAGATGAGTTATGTGGCTTTGGGAAGATGTCTACCGTGTCCTGAGAGCTAGTTTTTTCCTCTAAAATGTGGATGATAGCAATACTTCTGAGAGATGTGTGGGCTATCACTTGAAATTTGGAAGTAAGAGGTTTTGCAGCAGCTAATATTACTGTAACTAATACCTGAACTGCATTTGATTTTGTTATTTGCTCCCTTCCTTAGATCAGGAAAACTGAGGCACAAAGTAGTAAATAACTTGCTTGGGATCACAGAGCAGCCGAGTGGTAGAGGTGCAGTTCAAACGCTGGTGGTCTCGGTCTTACTCCCTTCCCCATCCCTAATTTCCCTGATCATTCATGGAGGAATTTTCAGATTCCAAGAGGCCCAGGAAGCAGTAGGTTGATACACCCAAACCTCAGCCTCACCCTGAAACAGGGTCCCAATTCCAGCACTCACCGAGCGATCCAGACAAGTTTCAAAGTGAAAAGCGCAGTTTAGAAATCTTGTGGCCCTTGTACTTGTATTTATCTCTACCAACACGGTGGAGTAGAAGAAACTCAGAGGGACGCAGCTTTAAATGCAACCGCAGCCTATTTTTTTGTGGGACCGAGAAGGCTACTTACTGTCTCTGAGCCTCAGTGACCTCATTATAAG